CTGATGGCTCCAATCGGATGGCGGCAGTCTCCATAAATGCGCATGTGGGCCCTGGTGTTGGAGCTGAGACTACCAGGACCATTTGGCGCTCTGCCGCCGGTGGTTGTCACGCCGCCGGTGCGACCCCCGCTGGAGCCGCGGGGGCTGCTGCGGGTGCGGCGGGTGCTACCGGGGCGGCCGCAACGGCAGCCGCCGCGGGCGCCGCAGGCGCGGCTTGCTGGACAGCCGGTGCCGCAACCGCAGCGCGAGGGGCAGCCACATTGCGCTGTTGGCCCCTGTTGCAAGTTGTGGAATGGTGGGGCTGCTGGCAATGGCAACAGCGGCCTGCCACCGGGCAGGCATGGGCATAGTGGCTGCGCCCGAGACAATTTTGACAGAGTCGCCGTCGGCGCACTGCTTGCTGCCGCTAGTGAATGGAGAGCGGACATCTGGTCGGGGTGTGTTGCCCCGCACAAAAGGGACACGAGTTACAGTCAGGTGGTCCCCGGTTATTGTCCCGGGAGGACCTATTATCCCGTCGCGGGTCTTGATCACGGCGCTGTGCGCCGCGATTGTCCGACCTGGATCGTTGCGGAGAACGGCTGGGGCGCCGTTCCGACAACCGTTCATGACGCCGCCACTTGCGGGGTGGGCTGCGCAAGCGCGAACGTCCCGGTTGGCCGGGACGGCGGCGGTTCCCATTATTGTTGTACCCGTGATTGGGCTGACCGCGTCTGTTCCCCCCTGAGGTGGAGGGTTCGCTTGTAGATGCCGTGGCGCTTGCTGCCACTGCAGGTACTGCGACAGCAGCTGGGGCCGCTGCCGGAGCCGCCGCAGCCCCAACGGGGTTTGCTGCGGAGCTCTGAAAGACAAGGGCCGGAGGTTCTTCTGCTAAGCCAAGTTTGTCCGCAAAGAAATCGCGAAAGAACCGATATTGCTCATGAGGGCGGTGTGCCCACGCTTCTTTGTTCTCAGCCACCTGAACGTGGCGGTCAGAGTGTACCTGGAGTACTTCCAGGAAATTTGCTCGCTGCAAATGTGCCCTAATAACTGCGCTCATGCGCTGCGTGGCAAGAACCATGTCGGTTTGGATCGTCTTGAGGGTTTCTGCGATTTGCACGACTTTATCAAAGTATTCGTAAAATTCGGGTATGGTCGTGGGCTTTGGTAGCCTTNCGGTTTGGATCGTCTTGAGGGTTTCTGCGATTTGCACGACTTTATCAAAGTATTCGTAAAATTCGGGTATGGTCGTGGGCTTTGGTAGCCTTTCAAACTCGCAGTACAACCGCAAGCGATTATTATCAGTCTTGCCGTACTCGTTGAAGAGCACGCGAATGACGCTGAGATAATCCATCCGGATATCTTGATGCGCAAATGCCCCAATGTTACGGCGAGCAGCGCCGTCCAGATGGACCAGTAAAATACGTATGCGTTCAGCATCGGTGAGCTGGTCTGCCGGAATGAGATGAACCGGTGTGAAATCATGCCACAGACGCTCGAACGGGTACTCTGATGCGATTTTACCGTCAAACTTCGGGAAAGTAGCATGGCGCGCTTGCTTTTCATACGACTTCACGAGGTCATGATGCGCGTATTGGGAGGGTTGACCCGTCCCAAAACTCGCCCGCGCTTGTTGATACGCGTCAAGAGACCTCGGAGGCGGAAATAAGACCAAGGACGGTGCCACGTCCGAAGGGACGTAGCTGGATGGTCCAGGCAGATTTAGAATAGAGGATGCCTGCGGCCGCACGGCGATCACGGGACCAGCCGGTTGTTGCGGAGAGGCCGATGAAGCTGCTGGTAGGCAAAGAGGCCCGTTTACACGTGCGTTGCCCCGCGGTGGGGCTGCGGATGGCCCTGACACATTGGGCGCGACAGGCGCCCACAGACCACAGGAAAAGGCACAGGGTCCCCTGGTGCAACAGGGAATGCAACCCCTAGTACACTGGGCTGGGTAGGGCGGAGATTGACCCACGCCCCCTGCATCACATCTAGCAAGTAGACCAGGATGTTGTTCACCTGGTCGGCCAGCATCCTAACGGATGCAACTTCTTTGTTGGAAAAATGCCCGTCTGGGATGTTAAGCAGATGTACGGCGGCTTCAAGGAAGCGCAGCACATATTCTTCGAAACGGGCCTGAGGGTCCCCGCGGTTGGGGGTCCGTAAAATATGGTCAACGGCCCCGACGGCGTTGGCAACGCGCAAGACATACTTAATGAGTGTAGGGCGCGGAGCCGTCGTTGCTGAGGAACGGCTGGACGACGCAACAGAGCCCGAACTACGCGGCACAGTGGACTGAGTCCGCTGTGGGACGCCGGGGAGCGGCGCATGCTGAGTCCTACTCGATGATCGCGAGTGGTCGCTCACTTGGCTGCTAACACTGGATGGACTATTGGAAACGCGATGCCCCGGCCCCCTAAGAGGGGGAACAAATCGCCGCGGAGGCTTGCGCGTAGCGCGCAGCCTGCTCAAAATGGGTGAGGGATTCACCGAACTCATGACCACGCTACAGGGGTGAGTATCTTCCGTTTTTTCGCTTTCGGGGGGGGTTTCCGCAAATTTACCAAGACGTAAGGCCCCGTTTCACGCGTAGGCGTAAGAAAGAGCACTGAGAACTCCGTACAAGGAGGGAAAAAAATGCCGAGGTTCGTACCGCTTCTCGGTAGACCCGCTGGCCACCAATTTTGTCAAGTGATAATGACAAAGACCTTATAGAAATAAGTATAAACCGTACGCAGCCTTTAGGAGGCCGGATCCTCCAGAAGGGAGTCCCTTAAGCACTCTTTTATTCCAGTGCACACACAAACNTTAGGAGGCCGGATCCTCCAGAAGGGAGTCCCTTAAGCACTCTTTTATTCCAGTGCACACACAAACGCTCAGAAACAGAACCAAGATCAGAATCCTCAAGATATTGCAATCATCCACACAAGTCACACACAAAGACAAGTCCTCAGGGAGGAAATCAATAATCCGCTAGCAACCGTACGGAGGCAAGGCTATTCGCAGAGTGACGGCTTCGGAGCCTCACGGAATTCAATGTAGATACAATTATAATAATTATCTTTCTCACCCGGTTCCGCCAGGCGGTAACCGGGTGCCATGCAGGATCTTGGTTCCGTGCGCGTCGTAACTTTGCACATGTGGAGCCCGAGCAAGGATGCTACGCTCGGGCCTCCCCACGCACTCTCTCGACCCCACAGGATGTTTAGCATTGCTTACAGCTTCTGTTCATGCAACAAGAACAAGTCAGTCACATTTGGGATTGGAAATTCCAGACTGCGTTTGCCTTAATGAGGATATATCTACCCAGAGAATATATTACAATTTCTCAAAAAGTTTGTTATACTGTAATGAGATTTTTTCAACATGTACTCTGTTGTCTTTTCTACCAGGACTTGAGAAAACTTTTTTGTACTGGAATATGTGTTGAACCATATTATTTATAACAAGATTTTCCTGTATAATCTCTTGTGGGGGTTATTTTTCATAGTGTGCATGGTTATGCCAGGATTTTTTTTCTTGACAGGCTATTAGTGTGTTGGTTTGACCAAAGATCACCATATTGGCGCAACAGCAGAGTGGGTACTTTCCTGTTACCTCTGTACCTACTTTCCTCTTATCTCTGTACCTTCCCTCTGACAAATTTAACCTGACCTAACCTAACTTCACCTAACCACCTCCCAAAATCAGTTTCTGCTTTCTTTGGGTTTCTGCTGAAACTAGATGCTGAAAAATAAAATTCACAGTTTCTGGTAGGTTGTCCTGATTATGAACTTGTCCTAAAGATTTGTCTGGATGGTAGTGCAGTCTAGGAATGAGGTACAGAGATAACAGGAAAGTACTGCAGAAGTGCCCTAAGCTGGGAAATATTTGGATAAGTCAAGTGATGAAAATAAGTGTACATATAGTGCAGGAATGCTGAAAAGAAAAAAAAAATCCCAGCTCCGTTGCTGGACGTTTGTTGCTGGACCTTTAGAAAAATTCTCAACTCCTATTTCTGCGGAATTGCGTTGTTTGCAATCATCAGGATTACTTCGGAGACTCGGTGAGTGACGTGAACATGTGTCGTCTGGACGTGCTCACTCTGGTCAAGGCCATCGACGTGGCCACCAACCACAACGACTGGTCCCTGGCGGCGGACTCGAGCTTCCGTCCGCGCGCCGCCTTCACGCCATGGGCGCTGCAGCTCAAGAGCGTGGCGGCTCGCGTGGCGGACGACACGACGACGCGGATGGTGCGCGCGTGCGGCGGCGCCGGGTACTCGCAGGCGGTGGGCATTGAGCGCCTCTTGCGCGACTCCAAGGCCTATTGGCTCATGGGCCCGTCCACGGAGATGGCGAGGAAGCTGGTTGGCCAGATGGCGTTGAGGGGCGTGGACTCGCTGGACCTCTTCGAGTCTGTCTGCGACTACAACGCTCTCTTTCATCAGGTGGCGCTTTCCGTTTTCTCGGCTCAAGTGGGGTTTCATTTCCGAGCAACAGAATATTAAAGGGATGAGTGGGGGAAAAAGAAATGCTTGGGTAGAATGGAACATTGACACACAATATTTGTTGCTCTATAATACAGTTGAACCTCTGTAAGTTGAATTTCAAGGGACCAGCAAATAAATTAAACTTGGGGAGGTTTGGAACTACAGAGGTTTGAGCTACATCAAATAGCTGTGTTGTTCTGGGAAACATGAAAAAAATAGCCCACAATTGTAAATGGTGGTCTTCTTTGGCTTAAATTATTGCTTATTGAATGATTTAAAATTATGCTGAACTTGTAGGCAGGGGTTCATTATTTGCCCAATTAAGTCTTTCACTTCCTTTTCAGACACATCAATTTTTAATGGCATTGCTTTTCTTATTTGTTGTGTCAATAAAATCAAAGCCAACAGGCCACCAAAAATTTGACTCACAGAGATTAGAGGCAGGAAGCCTTTTACTTAGGAAGGCTTTTATGCATTGTTTCTGAAGGGATTCAGAGGGGATCTGAAAAAAGTTGACTTAGGGGTGTATTTGACTTGGGGAGGTTTGAGTTATTGAGGTTCACCAGTAACACTAATCCTGCAAAGTGTTCACCAACTGTTACATTGGCATATTTGAAGAAGCGGTAAGTTGCAAGTGCCCATATGCGGTTGAACCTATTCTAGTCAAATTTCAAGGGACCAGAAAAAAAATCAACTTAGCAAATTTTTGACTTATAAGGTTTTGAGTCATGGAGGTTTTCATAACAGAACCAAGAATACGTGTTATGAGAAACAGAAGAATCCCATAAAATCAGAAATGGTGATATTTTGGGCTTTCTAAAATTAGTTGATAGGATGCTGAACTTGGATGCAAGAATTTCTCATTTACTTCCTTTCAAAACATGTCAAATTCCACTTTTTATTGCTTTTCTTGCTCCCCTTTCAAGTAAAGTGTAATCAAAAGGAATCAGAAAATTTGAATAATGGAGATGCCAGAGGAACAGATTTGGGGAGGTTTTTAAAGCATTGGTTCTAACTTTTAAGGGAATTCAGAAGTGGGCTTGAAAAAATTAAAAGTTGGGAGGTATTTGACTTAGGGGGCTTTGACTTATGAAGGTTCAACTGTATGTCATATTGTATGCATGTCAGGGAATCCATCTGTCCTCTGGCCCCTTTGAATCAATAAATCACTGACATTGAGGCCATCACAAGGCACAAATAGGAAGAGTTGAGTTTAGCTTAACAACAATGTATGCACAAAATTCTTATGATAAAAGTAAGCATGAATGAAGTTCAGAATATGGAAGCCTCTTTGATGATGAGAGTCACCTATAAAACTCATATAAAAAGTATTTAAAATTTAAATATTCAAATTAAGTATACCCTTTGTTCACATTTGTTAAGGCAAACAAGTTGGCAGTTGATAACAAGCGGCTGGTGGCTGCAAAACTTCTTGCTGATGCTGACCGTCAGGAGACAAAAGATCTTCAATCCTCAGCAGGAAATGACCAGAAACAGGGAGAAGACTTTGACAATCCCTTCAACACAACCCCAACTGCTTACAATGACATGGTGTTGATCACAGAAGATCAGGTGAGGCATCAGCCTGGTCTTCATCCAACCCAATGGACGAGACTCAAGCTAGCCAAGAAAATTAAGCTGGACAAGGAGAATCTTCTGGTTATTTTCCATCTGCCCACAGAAACTGACCACACTGGAACTTTGCCTGGACAGCATATTTCTGTGAGTGGTTTCAATAGCTTCACAATTGTTGAAAGAGTTTTATAAATTTCTTCAGTCAACCTCAAACTTACACACATTTTTAAATTTGAAGTTTAATTCCTTAGATATTTGGGAGTCAGAGAAAAATCGTTTCTTACAAAATCCCACTTTTGAAAAAATCCTGAGGAGTGAATTGAACTTTATTGTTCTTTGAAAATCTCCAATTTGAAAAAAAATCATTATTTTTGGGAAGAGATACTAAATTAGTCCACGCATTGGAATACTGATCACAATTTTTATATTAGCAAGAAATAAGAAAATAAAATTTGCACATAAAATACAGTGTGAGCTTCATTCGAAAAATAGATGAAATTGAGTAACCTCAACATTTATCTTCAAAATTCAAGTACAGTACACTGTATAAATCTTCCTAACGCTCTTGGATAGTTTGCTTGAGCAAGATAACATTTTCAGGTTTAAGTAATTTTTAAAATGGAGAATACGCAGTGAAAAATTTTCTCAAGTGATGAAATTTCATAAATTCAAGTGTCGAATAAATTTCTTGAAAATGTGTGAAGGTGTGAAAATTTATTACAAGAATCCTGCCCTTAATAGTTTTTATTTTCAAATTTTTCAGTTGTATTTCAAACTCTGCAAGCTTTTTTAACGTGTTAAGTTTTTGGCAACAGGATTTATGTCCTGGAAGGATTTAGCAGAAAGGATTTTTATATTTTGGAAATTTTTTTTCCTGTAGCCAGTATAGACATTCAAAGATAGAAATCATAAGCGCATTCGTATCGCACGAAAAGAATTCAAGATTATAAATTAAATTCTTTAAGTTTTTTTGTGTGATTCGTTAAAGCGGCAGGAAAATTCCTTACAGAGGAAATGTTGAAAACTTTGGAGAGCTTACGTGGAGGCAACTCGTCATAAGTCCTTGCAATTAGTTCCTCCAAGTTTTTAAATTTCCTACGTTGATGACCACATTCAAAAATCATCTCTCGTCTTTCGTCGGGGAATTCAAGGCGAGGATGTCCGGAAAAAACGGGCCCAGAGAAAAATTTCGTCGCTATTACTCTCCCATTTCGCGGCCGGACGATTTTGGCAAACTCGAGCTGATTGTGCGCAGCGACTCCAATGGCGTATTTGCACAGCACATCAACGCGATGGCGGAAGGCGACGACAGCCTCGAGTTCCGCGGTCCCAGTGGCGGCTTCGAGTACTTCTCCAACACTCTGGACTACCTGATTGCTGTCTGCAGCGGCACAGGCGCCACGCCCGCCATCCAGTTGGTCAGGTCTATGCAGGTGTGCGGCCTCCTTTTCATGTGTCCCCTTTTCTTTGTCTTTTTCTGCCTCTCTCTCTCTATTTCTCTATCTCTGTCTCTCTACCTCTGCCTGTCTCTATCTCTGTCTCTCTATCTCTGCTCTCTATCTCTGTCTCTCTATCTCTGTCTCTCTATCTCTGTCTCTCTATCTCTGTCTCTCTATCTCTGTCTGTCTATCTCTGTCTGTCTATCTCTTTCTCTCTATATCTGTCTCTATGTCTCTCTTTCTCTCTATCTCTGTCTCTCATCTATCTTTCTCTCCTTCTCTGACTCTCTCTACCTCTCCTTTGCTGTCCCTTTCTCTCTCTCCCTCTTTCTCTGTGTCTTTCTCTCTCTCTCTTTGCTTTTCTGTCTCTTTCTCTCTCCCCCCTTCTCTGTCTCTTTCACTCTCCCCCCTTCTCTGTCTCTTTCTATCTCTCTTCTTCTCTGTCACTTTCTCTCATCCATGAATATGTCCATGTATCTAAATCTATAACTTAAAGTGCTTCTGTTTCTCTAACGCTCTGTTTCTCTAACCATCTGTTTCTCTGTCTCTGTATCTCTTTCTGTGTCTCTAAATTTCTCTCTGTTTCTTCCTCTGTGTCTGTCTCTGTCCTTGAGAAGTAAAGAGAGAGAGTTGCTGATATTTTTTTTACTCCACTACCATTTATACATAAAGTTCTGAACCTGGATAACTCAAACCTCCCCAAGTCAATTTTTTTTAGTCCCTGTCTGAATTTGAATAGGAACAATGCATTAAAAACCTCCCTTACTTGAAGGCTTTTCCTCAACTGCTGTAAATCAAATTGTCTCTGGCCTTTTGGCAATATTTTCTTGACACAGGGAGAAAATCAATAAAAATGTAACTTGATATGATTTGAAAGAAAGGGAAAGACTGATCTGGCAAATGAATTCTTGCCTCCAATTCCATCCTCTTGTCAACTCATTTAAGAAACAAAGTAAGACCCAGAATACCTCCATCATTTACAATTCCATGAAATGTTTTCCACAGGAAAAATTCTTGTTTCCCTAATTCAAAGCCTCCCAAACTTGTAACCTCCCTAAGTCAAATTTTTTTGCTGGCCACTTAAAATTCAACTTTGATAGGTTTGACTGTGCAGTATTTGCTGTAATCATCGGGAAAATACTCAATGATAAATGTGAGCAGTAAAGAGTTGCACAAAGAGAACAACTCTGAACCAAGTCGTAGAAAATAATATACAACTCAGGTGCAAAACAAAGAAGATGGAAAAAGGGGAAGAGATTAATTTCTCTTCCTGACGGTGCAATTCTCGAGGTTAAAATATATTTAGGAAAATCTATTTTATCACATATTGACCTTTGTTGAAGGATGCAGCCTTGCACTCTGTCCTCCCCTCCTGGATCTGTCCCACAATTAAGAAGTACCCTTCCTGGTACTCCGACCTTGTCTACTGATTTTCTGGAGTATATAAACTCCATTAACATCTTCCCAAAATCAGGCATTAGTGCCCTGACCAGTGTATAGAGATCCCAAGTAGGAATTCTCCCAGGTCTTGACTTGTGTGTTTTATTGGCAAAAGACAATAAAATAATACTCTGCTGGAATACTGTGTTTCACTGCTTCTCCTATAAAGGATATACTCAAACTTTAATATTAATACCAAGAAGAACTCTTGAAGTGTAAGTATACACAACATTGCAAATGTTTAATGCGCGAATATCTTGAAACTCATGATCAAAAACTTCCAAACGCTTGCATTCCACAGAAAAAACGTAAGTAAGAAGTAAGACTTTGATCAGCAATTGCTTTTTTTTCTAGTTTGATTTTTTACGAATTTTTAAATTTCTGAAGCATCACTTGAAGTTGCCACTCATGTTCTGTAAAGTTTATTATCCAAGTGCAACGTACAGCGCTCTAATTTTGAGCCTTTTCCAATAAGACATGCTTTTTCCCTATTTTTTTTTTTGGCATAGGACGACGAAGAAGACCGGTGCAAAATGTTCCTGTTTTACGCAAATGCAAAACCGTCGCAGATTTTACTGCGGAATGAATTGACTCGTCGAACGTATGACGAGAACTTCGTGGCCAAGTTTGTGGTTCATGATGGACACGGAGCCGGTGTCAGTGCATCATCGTCGCTTTTTGAAGAGGGCTACATGGACGAAAACTTTTTCAGGTTGCGCCAAATAATACTTAACATTTTTCCCCTCTTGTTTTTGCAACTTCGGGTAATTTTTATGCGTTAGGGATTTCCCCAAACAAAGAGACTTGATGAGTAAAACACCACAATCAGTTCGGGACTCGCTGGGATCCTCTTTATAGAGGCGTCAAGAAATTGATATCTGTTTATGTCCCAAAAAAATCATCAACTCAGCATCTTTTTCAAGAAAAATACAAACACACACACACAATTTATCAGAAAATATGTTTATGCATTGGAAGCTAATAATGAGAGTGTGATTCTGAAAGAGAATGTGCAGTTGATTTCAAGGTTTTGAGAATGTGCTGTTGATTTCAAGTTTTCAAGAATGAGCGGTTGATTTCAAGTTTTGAGGCTTTTACGCATTATTGAGGAAGTTTTGTGTTAAACTTGTTGTTCGCAAAGGTTGAGATTCTTTGTTGCTTTCCAATTGGCTATTTATTTTTTTAATTGAAGACAATGTGGATCATTGTTGTACAAGTCTTGAAAGTTCTTTGGTGCTGGGCTCCCTATAAAACCCAGCACAGGTTTCAGGAATGCAAGGCATTTTATAATATACAGTATTTCACATTTTGAATGTTCCCCATAATTTCATCAGAAGAAGTTTGAAGTTTAAGCAATTCTCCCCATATCAGTTTTGTAAATAGTTAAAACTTTAAAGCGTCTATTACAGTTCCTGTTTCTCATAATATTTCAGTACTGAAAGAGTCATGAATCTCGACATTCTGAAGAATTCTTCTCAGGTCCCTGGCAGCTTGTTATTGTGACGAGATATTATTGCATCATTATGTGTTTTTTTTGTTTTTTTTTTGTAGGAGGAATCTGCCACCAGACCTGATGTCAAAACGGCACAAGATCCTAGTTTGCGGTGGGCCTCAAATGATCATATCTGTGCTGTACGCCCTTCGCGCCGTCGGCGTGGCGTCCGAGTCCATCTTCATCTACGGCCCAACGGCGGCGGAATACATTCGGGCTATTTACGGACGAACCGCGTCTCTGTCTTCGCACCGCAGCTTCGAGTGTGGCGGCTCTCCATCATTATTGACCAGCGCCCAGAAGAGCCTGTGTTCTGCTCGCCAAATCGTGTCGGAAGATGGGAGGAAGCTAGTCATCACTGAGCATGCAGTTAGCACTGGGATCCGGCTGGAAAACTGGTCCGAAACACCCGAGTTGGTTCGCGATGAGACCGGGACGTTGTTGGTCCTTCCGGCCGCTAGCAACAACAATAGCGATACACTAGCGACATCTGAATGAGAGTACATCAAATTCAGAAATAGAAGTCGCGTTATTTGTATGCGCAGTGTCGCGCTTCGACTCAAAAAAGGTTCCCCTCCTCCTTGATGCTTCCTATATCCATATACCTGATCTTACATATATTTCTGTTAATTTATCAGTCCTTCGTTTCCCTTTTTTTTCGTGAACGTATTAATTCTTAAATCATCGTACATCCCGGTTCTTCATTCGGTGGATGAAATAAACAAAATTGGAATTCACTTTATTCGTCTTTTAATTTCATCATGCCCCGAAACAATCCCGATTTCATGACACAGCAGTAATCCCAATGCCATGACGGAACACAGTTTTTGAAAAAAAAAAACACATACAGTATTTCTATACTCGTTCGTTACCCAGAAAACAACAAAACAGAAAACAATGCCTATGAATATTTTCTCGCCGAAAAGCATAACATTTTCCAGTCTTCTCGCATGAAAGCAGTTCTCGTATAAAAAAACGATCCAAACGTATATTATTGCCAGAATTCGCTGTAAAATCTCGATTTTTCGTCAAGGAGCAGAAACCTCCGATTGCTAAAGTGACCAGGGCGAGAACACTTCTTTTCTCATTTTTGCTGAGATTTATTTTTGCAATTTCACCCAGAAACGAATTTTAAGAAATTCCGAAACTTCGACAATGGTGCAATAAACACGAGTCCTGGAAAAATCCATAACTTACGGAAAAAATTAAAATCAGTTCACTTTTCATGAGCGTGATAAAGAATTCGCGGGGATTTTTCAAACAGTTCAATGGCTGTTGAATAAAAATAAAACTACACGTAATTTCAATCACAATTTCAGGCTTATTATTGTCTTTGCTTTCATAAAACTTGTATGTGAATTTTTCAAATGCTTAGAATAAACTCAGGTAAATTAGAAAAATGGAATATGGCCATCGGGTGTTTTTCAACGAACAAGAAAAATTCAGGTTCTAAATGTTTTAGAATATTGTACTTTCAAGCTCTCATATTTTGTTGATGAAATATATTTATGAATGACTGCAAAATCGTTAGGTTGTGGCAAACGGATTCTTGATGAAAATTTCGCATTTTGATTTTTTAACATGTTTTTTTATGAGGTATCCAGCTTTTCTGAGACTATATTTTTCTTAAACTGAATTTTAAATCATTCTCAGATTTAAAAAAGGTACAATTTGAATGGTTCGTCCACTTTTCAAAGCTGACACCATGTCTTGTAAAATTTTTTTTACCGATAATCTGGTAGGTTAGTTTTCAACCGCATGAATTTCCATCAGCAGAAACCTTTCGTAATATTTCATCCCCTGCATTATTTCAAAATAACCTTCAAATTAAAAAGCATCATGTTCCTTCTTCAAACAAGAGAAACGTAAATACAACGAATTTTCGCAGATGAAGTTTTTTCCAAAATGTGGGAGTTCGAAAATCAAACACGTTCGGATTCGGCAGCTTATTATTTGACACCAAGAATTCAACTAAAGATTTTGATTGTTTTTATCATTATCCAAGAGGATCAGACGAAAATGCCCGCAGGGTATTCGCAAAAGCTCTCCTTCAGACTAGGTTATTCATGACAAATAGGCCACCATTGTCACATCAAATCCAGTACACGTACGCACAACGTTTCTTCGCGCTTATCCTGGCATGAAAAAAACACTTGACTAGCAACAATTTGCCCCACTTTTTTCTTTCGCACAACAAAACAGCAATAAAACCGGCTTCAGTTTTCAGCTCCTCTATATACCTAACACACAAAAAAAAAAAAAAAAGATACTGCGTGTTTTGCTTGCTTTTCAGCATCAGCAGCAATAAGGACTTTCGTCCCAACAATGAGATCGGTTTCTTTTCCCTATTTTTCGTCCATTTCGTTTCGTAAAATTGCACGACAACAACGAGGCGGTTTCTCGCCAATTTTTTTGCAGGTAGGGTTTGCGTCTCGGAAAACAACTTCTCGACAGCAAAATAATTCAACCTTTCCTTCCATTTCTTTTTGTCAGAAATTTTTTTTCTTCGTCGTCGAAAAAAGAAGGAAATTGTCTCAATTTCTTTTTCCACAGGGAGAGAGAAGAATGTTTCTCGACTAGTCGTGATTGGAACTGGGTTCCTTCTTCTTTTTTTTCATTGCAATAATAATTTAAAAATGGGGATTAAGTTCAAGACATGGAAGTGGCAGTTGACACGACGACGACGGGGTCGTGGGGTTGCTGTCGACGACGTCGTAATGCGTGTCGAATCGTCGTCGACTCGTTGGACGATGTCGATGTCGACGACGCACTGGTCGTCGCTGTCGACATGGTGTTCATCGCTTCTGCCTCCATCGCCTCTGATTCTTCTTCTTCTAATCGCTCGCCTGGATCAGCCGGCATAATCTGCAATTGAAAAAAAAAATGCGAAATTGGCATGGAATGAAAGTTGTCAGACGAACAAAAAATGTCCGACTGATTGGATTGTCTCGAGAAAAGCGATATTGAATTCTTTCATCAAAAACCACGAGGAATCCAATGTGAGAAAGCAATTTTATCTCACCTCTGCTTGCCTCATTGCGTCCTGGAATCATTTCCAGATTTGCGGTGCAGCGTAAAGAGCAAAGAAAAATCCCGACATTACTTTTATGACGGTAAGAACCATCATAATTATTATGTTCAATACACACTGTTCAGTTGCATGCAATGTCATGATTTGTTGCTTCATCGAAGAGTGAAGAAGAAAAGCGCCGCCAAAAATAAATCGCTTTCAAAATCGTCTTCAGCCTTTAAATTTTTGTTTCGTAGATTCGAGTTATTTTAAATAGTACGGTGGCTTTTTTCCTCTGCTTAAGATTTTATTTCCCGTTCACCTTTTGAGGGAACTGATGAGCACGTGAATTTATACACAGTACAGAATTTTTAATTTCTCAATTTAACGAAAATTTAGACGCAAATTTTATTTAAAAGTTGGTCCGTCTGTTTTCTGTTGCATGTCTGTCTGAGATCAGCTGGGTTCTTTGAATTTCATTTTTTTAAAGTTTCGAATAAAACAGAAAGTTAATACGTGCATTTTTTTGATTGGCAAGATTAATTTAAAAGGGCTAAATTGTGATAAAGAATAACCTAATCAACAAAAAATTGCAGTAGGACATAGAAATATCATAGATTGAAGATGAATGCAGTATTTAGATTTTTTTTTAGGATTACAATTGAATTAAATTATCGATTCGCGCCAATTTCATCTGATGAATTAAGATTACTTTTTGTATGATCAGTTCATTTTAATCCTCGACAAACATGCCACGATTTGAATTTACATAAAATTATACTGTACAAGGAGAATTTTTCCAAAAATTCATAATTATTCTGAACAGCTTGAATTAAAACGATGTCTATATCATAAGTACTGTCTATCGTGTTCGAAATGCCACAGCAGTTTCAATGTGCAATTTATTAAATTTATGAAATGTATTTCTTACGAATTCATGTGAGCATCAATTCAATGATCAACACAGTGTCGTTTTTCGAATATATGTACGGTATTACAAAAAATGTTGCATCACTTTGCATCCAAAACGAAAAATAAGCCCAACAATGAATATTCTTGCATTCTTTCATTTTCTGGAATAAAAACCTGCAGCTTTCGCTCATGGAATTTTTTCACGTTAAAGAATTGGCATTTTAAGGGATCAATGCAACCTAATTAGAGCCTGATGTATTTTTTGACAACCACGAGAAACCAAATTCCCGATTTTAGCCAAGTTTCACAAACGGCGGAACCTGGGAAACTTTTTGATGGATATTGATAATATTTTACTCTTGATTCGCGGGTCCTATTTTTTTTTTTTACAAGAATCATGTGATTTATCGTCGAGGGAATGAGAATAATGTCATAAAACAAATGAAAAGATCAAGAACATCGTCCTGAAGACGAAATTGTATAAGAAGGTGGAATAACAGGCATCAGTGAATTACAAAATATGGAAATCCTACAGAAACTACTGTACTGTGATAGCGTACCTGCAATACTTGGGTACCACTGGTGACCACGACACCAGCAGCTTCGTTGCCACCATCGTCGTCTTCCTCCTCTTCCTCCTCTCCTGCGACGACCACGTCTTCCACACCATCCTCCACTTCCATCATCATGTGATGGTGGTGCTGGTGGTGGTGTTGGTGATGGTGCTGTTGCTGCTGATGGTGGTGCTGCTGGTGTTGCTGCTGCTGCTGATGGTGGTGCTGGTGCATATCCCCGTCTCCACCGACACCAATGCTGACACCGCCGCCACCACCACCGCCGCCGCCATCCTCATCGTCATCGTCGTCGTCACCGGTGCCAACTGCTGTGGTCACGTGGCGCACTTGGTACCTGACGTCGGGTCCGTCGTCGTCGGCAGCCGCTAGCACCACGATCTGCTGGTGATGGTGGTGGTGGTGGTGCTGGTGGCGCTGGTGCGGGTCGTCGCTGGAGCTGTCGCCCGTCGACGAGCATACCACGTGGATCTGGTGGTGCTGGTGGTGGAGCCCGCCGTCGCTGTCGAGTAGGTTCTCTCGCTTCACGGTCATCTGGCCACTGCTCGACATCTCCAGGGGCTCCACTTTGGGCAGCGTCGCCACGATGGGTGTCACCACCTGGAAAATACAACAATAAGCGAAAAATTTTCTCATCAGGTTATTCGTCGTTGAAAAAAATTTATTTTCATCAAAAAGTGCCTTTATTGTCGTCAATAAATGTGTACTCTCTCTCTCTCTCTCTTAAAATATTTGCTGCAGGCTGGCACAGTTTTTCAACATTTTTGAAGAAAGCTTTATGGCAAGCATTTAAAAGGTCTCTGCTTTGAAAAAAAATTTAAATTCAATAAGGCTAGTGCTTATAGTGGAATTAAAAAAAAAATTAGAGAGGTGGGCTTGACCTGACCAGGGTAAAAAAAAATATGCACAAAGATATTTTATATAAGATTACAGTTTTGAATACTACTGTACTTCTTTTTTATTCCTGAAGTTAGGAAAATACTCGCGGCTGCGAAGAAGAAAGCCTTACTATAACCGCATTTACAGTTTGAAATTAATTTTCTTGAAAGAAATTTTGCATGATCGTTCAACACACACGTATTTTTTTGTTCAGAAAGTAGATGAGTAAAAACGTAAGGCCACTCAGTCAGACTTTTCCAGCATTCACCTTGCGGCGAACATTTGATCACAAAACGGCCAATCGGACCTCCAGAATCGCAAAACAATCAGATCGAATTGTTTCAAAAATAGATACTGTATTGTATAAATAATTTTTTTTTTTTGTTTACCTGAAGCTGTTGGTGCCCATTCACTTGCCCCACTTGAGCCATCACGGTTTGGTACATCGATACAGGCACTGGAACAGTGATCATACCTGATGGAACAACACAACAAGAAAATGAAAATTAATACAAATAAAAACTGACAAAATTATACTAGGTCAATTTCAGGCGTAAATATGGTACACTTTGAACCTCGATACCTCGAACCTCTCTAGGTCAAATACCTCCCCATGTTGATATTTTTCAAGTCCCTGTCTGAATTACTGTATATCTAAAATCGTCATAACTGGAATTTTATGGATGCCTTCTCGATATATATATTTTCTTACACAGTAACGAGAGCAGAAATAAAAACGATAACTTGCTGCATTTTGAAATGTAGCCGAAGACTAATTGACCCATTGAAACGACATTTGCCAAAATTATTGACAACTTCAAGTATGCCCCCTGCCAATTCATTTTGTCTTTGATGGACCACCAACAAGATTAAAGTTGTAGTGAGGGTGTCTCCAATTAAAAATAGATACAAGTAAAAAACGGTTACTGGTGAGGAGCCTATGTTGAAAAGGTTCATCAGCTGTTTATCATGCAAGAAACAAAGAAGTGCCCCTTTTTTTTTTACTTTGGCCATCTTCGCCGGTGATGATGATGTGGTGGCCCTCGGAAGGATCCCCCGACAGCTGCACTGTGCCAGCGGACAAGACGCCGTCGTTGTCGCCGTTGGACTGCTGGCCGTCTGTGAGGGCCGACACGGTGGCTCCGTCCATCGACGTCGGGATCTGCATTAGAGCATGCTTTTTTGACATTTACCTACCATTATTCGTCTGTCCACGTCACAACAACATTTGCAATACACTGATGCGATATGGAATTGAAAGAGCGAAACGAGGATCAGAAAAAGAAAAGCAAGGACAGTGAGACGCCCACATGCGGACACCTTGACCTGCGGACAATTTGACATAGGGACACTTATTTTACCATTTAAAATGAATTTAAAAAAGGCCCAACATGAGGACATTTACTCAACATAGGGACATTTTGTAATAAAATTGCAAATACATTTCAGGTCAAATTACAAGAAACAGATATTTCCAACCTTAAAATTGATGTAAGAACACTTCTTGGGCATTTCTCACCAATTTCTCATCCATTTAGCAAATTAAAAAATTACCCCCAGCATACACGGACTTCCTTCTCTCTTTTTCACTTGGATGTCATTTTTTACAGAGAATGCCAACATTTCTTTGTACTGTACAGAGGTATCAGTATTCAATTCCCCAAATCCCCATATTGTGTTGAAATATATTGATTGCATCAGTTTAAATTGGGAGACAATTTTCATTTTCATGGAATTATGGTGAGTATTTTGTGCATAAAGCACCAATTAAAAATTATATAATGTAATTCTAAGGGAAAATGAGACTAACTTAGGGACATTTCGACTTAGGGACACTCTTGATGCACCAATAATGTCCGCATGTCGGGGTCTCACTGTATTAGAGAGAGCCAGGCGAGTCTGCATGGATGAGAAGTTTTAAAGATAAAAAAGAGAGGTACGCGGGGGTTTAAAAAAAAATCGGACGAGCTTTTTACAAATTTAATTCCAAAGAATCGTATTCAATTGAATCTATTGAGCAAATCCGAAATCATGACAAGAATTAAATTTTCAAAGATTGGACGGAAACTTGAAAGGAACTGCATTAAATGATTGCGGTCTTAAATGGCTAAAAAACCATGCTTATATTTGGAAAACCAGGAAAAATGCCTGTTCTTCAAATTCAATTTTTGAGATTGACTGCATGTGGGACGGTTTTTTTTCTTCCGGCATACTGTATAACTTGTTGGAAAGAAAGAGTCACGATCGATCTTTAACTTCTTATTGTTCATGTTCGAAACTTTTGTAATTTTTTTCTTGGCATTTCACCGGAGAACTAAACGAATAGCAGAAAAATATTTGTTTTTAAATATTGCATTCGCATGTATAGGAAAATACATACAGTAATACTTTCTTTTAAATACAGTAGTAGGTCAATGAGTTACTTGATTTTCCTTCACAGCGTTTATAATTATTACTTTCTTTCTGTCAGAATTTGCCAATTTTTTTTTTTGCGGGTCGAATGAGAAGAGGAAGTTTTGATAAAGATGGTGAGGATAGGGATTGAAGAGGTGGGGAATAAGAATCGGAAGCAAGGAATAATGATGGAATAGAATTTACGAACCAGTCCCTGGACTTGGGCCGTCGTGCCGTCGGGTAACGTGATGATGGGGTTCGTGGGGTCGACCTGGATGATGCTGACAGTGCCGTCGGGGTTCGAGATCGTTTGCACCACCGTGGGCGTGTAGTGCATGGACTGCGCCTCCTGCGAAGAGAAATCCAGGGTCTGCACCACATTAAACCACTTTTCTTATTGACGTCTTTTCATTTCGTGTCATAGAGAGAATTCACAGTCTGGGATTCTGAATATCCCGAGTGGGGAGCTATTCTTTGTGTGACCCCACAACTGGTGCACACTGGGGTCACAACTGGGGTACATGGGCTATTCTATAGGGTTAAAAGCATACACCTCTGTTGATGAAGGTTTTTGAGAATGTGCTGTTGATTTCAAGTTTTTGAGGCTTTTACGCATTATTGAGGATGTTTTGTCTTAAACTTGTTGCTGGCAAAGGTTGGGATTCTTTGCTGCTTTCCAATTGACTATTTATTTTAAAATTGAAGACAATGTGCAGCATTGTTGTACAAGTTTTGAAAGTTCTTTGGTGCTGGGCTCTCTGTAAAACCCAGCACAGGTTTCAGGCATGCAAGGTATTTATAATACTGTATAATTATTTACTGGTGCACGCATCAGTCCCCAACAGTATGCTTGAGTGGGGAGCTATTCTTTGTGTGACCCCACAACTGGTGCACACTGGGGTCACAATTGGTGTATATAGGATATTCTGGGGTTACAAGCATGCACCTCTGCAGATGAAATTTTGCTACCATTCCAGGGCTACATTTGGTGCACAAATGTGACATAACAGGAGCATCACAAAAGCGCAACAACTGTTACCTTGGTGTAACTTATTTGTTTACAAATGTGACCCTGAGTAACCCTGGTGTGAACACACAATTGGTGCACATTAGGGATGTACATGTGCAACAGAAATGCTTTGGTACGCTTCAGGTGCACAGCAGGGTCACTGTGTAGAAATACAGACACATCTCCAGTGTGCACCAATTTCCCCACTTGGGCTATAATGCAATGTACTATTCACTCTTCACAGCATTCCAGTGAAAAATAAGCACTCAGTTCCTTTTTTTGGTCACTTCTGCGCAATAAAATCCAGGGTCTGCAATACAGTCAATCCCCTCACAATGGACCTCCTGCTCAAGGGTTTTTGCACCACATACCAACTCTGGAGACAGTTTTCCCTCCCACGCAATGGACTAAATCCACCTAACAGACTTCTGTTGGTTTAAAATTATTGGTAAAAGTAAAATGTTTATTACCTTAAATTTTTTTTTGAATTTGCATAAAAGACTTTTCACACAGCAGATTAGTCTGTTGCACAAATTAAGTCCATTCTGCGGGGGTTGTCTGTAAATGCTTTTCTTCTGACAACCTTTTTTTCTTTACAGATCATATGCATTTCAGCCTAAAATTCGAAGACTATAAGAACTCCAAAAAAGCCATCTATTATTTCATCAAAATATTCAATAGCTGTGATAAATGAATAACATTCCTGCCTTTATATTCTAGGGAAAATTAATTACAAGCCTTCATACAGATTTACTAGTTTAAAAAATAATAAAAAAAATTAAAATGAGAAGTGGGAAAAGAATTCGTTGGGCTGGGGACTTACCTCCGACACACTGGACGTGACGACGGCAGTGGCGGTGCCCCTGGGCGAGAGTTTAATCTGCTTCGCCGGCGACGGCATGGAAGTGGACGCGGACGCCGTGGACACGGACTTGGGCGTGACGACGACGTCGACGCCGCTGTCGGCGCCACACCGGGCCCCAGCTGCCGTGTCGATGTCGTCGGGGTCGCCGCCAGCAGCCGCCACTGCCGCCGCGTCCTCCTCGCTGAACGCCGGCAACAGGTCTTCCCGCCCGTGGAACTTGTAGCAGTTGATGACGATCTGTCGCAAGGCGTGGGTCCACGACACCTACAATCCCGGAAAAGGCATATAAATTGATGTAAAATTTACAGAGATTGATAACTATGAAACGTACAGCTATTTTTGTTCTGTACATTGAAACACATTTTCTTTGCGGAAGTGAATACTATGAGCCATCCAAGTACTTATGGTACGCTCGGTGTGCAGTACGTTGACAATTGACACGGCAATATTTCAAGACTTCTGTCAAGAATAAACAATTTAATCTACAGTATTTTGAAATCTTGAATCCACGATTCACACAAGTAAAGCATCTATTCTTCCTTTTCAGAAGAGACTTCATCGTAGCATTCGATGAATTGAGAAGGAGAAATGTATACAGTATAGCATTGTGCTTTATTCTCACCTTCTGTTTCTGGTCTTCAGTGCGAGCATCCATTCTCACATTGGCCCAGGGTAAATCTTTGGGCCACCAGGGTGGCCTGGTTTGCTCCTTGCCCCATCCGGGCTTCCCACGTCCTGCAATATTCAAAATTTAGACTTCAGAACCCGTAAATTCAACCATTGCTTTTCAAAATTTAAGAAGCATTGAAAAAGTAGAATTAGATCCCACAATCTTGAAAAAAATTATACCGTATATACTTGAGTACCATGCACCCTCAAGTAAGGCGCGCACAGGGGTTTTTCAGCTGAAAATTTTGCAAAAATCTTATCCCCAAGTAAGACGCGCACCCCAATTTTTAGTGAATCTAAAACCATAAAATTTTAAAAATAAAAACAAAAAATTTGACTTTAGACGTGAATTGAACAAAAATCTGATCAATTTTCAACTTTTTCAATACAAAAATGTTTTCTTGTTATATTTGTTCCAAATTTCTCCATTATAATTAAGTATAATGCACACATAACTTCCTAAAACTTCTTGAAAATTTTGTACCTGCTTATGACATGCACCCCTTTTTTTCTTCTGAAATTTTGGAAAAAAGGTGCGCGTGGTACTTGAGTAAATATGGTATATGTTTTATATGTTTTCTCATCAAAGATTCTCTCCAGATTATTCATTCAACTAAACCTTATCTGGGAACAGGCTGAAGACCGTGGTGCTTTAAATTGGGTTCAGTAACTGTTGCAATTGCTATAATTCTGGCTTATGTTGCAATTCTTGCTACTGATATTTTGTTTTCAATGTCAGGGAAAGAAGGGGTGTACAAATACACATCAGTTGTCCAGTTGTTCATTATGTATTTTATTTTATTTTGGTATCCATATTCAGCTTTTTTCTCTGTTTCCAATTCTGAAGTGATTGAATGCCTTTGAATGGATTTGAGTTGGGTGATGAGGGGGTTTGGATGTGGGAATGCTGATTGAACTTTGTTAATGCTGAAAAGCAGAAAATAAAGCTTTCTGTTTATTCATTCATAAAAAATATTAACCACAAGTCAACTGCAAATTAGCAAATAGATGCAAGAAAAACTTTCGGTTTAACACTCCGGATTGATTAGCAAAATATGATTCAAATCACCAGTCATTGTAAATCGTTGAAAGTTTCCTGAAAGCCATATGGTATATAGAAGGCTTCAAAGATATTTCAACATTGTTGGTTTTATTTAGTTTGTGTACAACTTTTGAAAACAACATCACAATCATACGCATAAAAAGAAATTAAGACGAAGCAGCTGTTCACATTTTTTTAAAGAGCGCCAAAGTTAATTTTTGGGATCTATCGTTTCCTCTTTTTTTATTAGAAATTTTGAAAGCTGCTGCGCAAGTTTCGAAAGTACCGCAAAATGTATGTGAAAAACGTGAAGGATATTTTTGTAGAAGCCAGGCGTTGATTTTTACGCCATTTAATAAAAATTGGTACAGTTTGCTGCCCAACACGTTTGAAAAATTCAGAGAAAAACAGAAATAGTTGTGCACAATTTTTAAAAATATTAACTGATTTTTCAACATCACTAATTCAAAATGCTGTATTTTTCCGTCGACAACGTTTGAAAATGTCGTCATATTCGCTAATTCGCATAATGAAAAAAACGATCGAGCGGTGGTGCACATTTTCTTTTTTTTTTAATTGAGGCTTTTCTTTGCTTTCGTCTATTCAAAATATTTTCTCACACCAGAAGGACCTTCTTTCAAACGGGAAGGTAAAAGTAAAAATACTTTCCAACCACGACTAAACGTAGCTGAACAAAAATGTCTGCAGGGAAAAAATAATAATAATACGTGGGCTTATTTTTACCAGTGCTATATTTGAGCATGAGTGGGATGAAGGCTCGCAGCTGCGCTTGAGTCATTTTCTCGACGGGAGTCGGGATACCGTCGATGACGAGTGGCGGCAACTCGTGTCGACTCGGGTCTTCCAGTGGCGGCGGAGGAGCGTGTTGCGCCAGCGCCGACTCCAGGTCCGCCATAATCATACCCGACAAATTCTTTATCTATTTGTAGAAGTAAAAATCAATCTATCAATCACATCGCGACGAGCACAGCATGTTCATATTTTTCTGCTTCGTCGTCGTGTATTATCAAATTAAAATGCATTAGAAATTAGCACTTATTGGCGTAGCTATAAACTTATTGTAACGAAATGCAATCGATCAGAAAGATACATATTAAAAGTTTTCAAGACAATCATATTTCTAAAATTTAAAAATCGTGAGCACAGCATGTTTATATTTTTCTGCTTCGTCGTCGTGTATTATCAAATTAAATTACATTAGAAATTAGCACTCATTGGCATAGCTATTAACCTCATTGTAACGAAATGCAATCGATCGGAAAGAGACAAATTAAAAGTTTTCATAACAATCATATTTCTAAAATTTGAAAATCGCGAGCACAGCATGTTTATATTTTTCTGCTTCGTCGTCGTGTACTATCAAATTATAGAAATTAGCACTTATTGGCATAGCTATAAACTTGTAACAAAATACAGTCGATCGGAAAGAGACAAATTAAAAGTTTTCATGACATATTTCTAAAATTTGAAAACCATGGCTTATATATCCAGTACCTGCAACTCTCGCACAATAACTCAAACTAAATAAAAAATAATCAGGTGCACTTTAATTGAGCTTTCTGAAAATTAAATGAAAATGAATAATGTTCCTCCTGTGGTTCAGAAATACTGCAATTCGAATATTATTCAACTGTACTGCGTTGTAAAGCCCTTTTAATAGGATAGTATTAAGTAATTGATTCGCTGGTTTCATTTGGCAAAATCTGATTATTTACCACGTCTTCTAGCGGTTTTGCTCCGAATACACGGAAATTGTTCTGGGCCGGTTTCCCAGGAGTCGCCATTAGCACAATTGCTTGTTGTCCAACTCTCGTCGCGAACTCGTCGATCGTTTGCTGCAAATACATACAAAAGGGATGCACATCAATATCACAATAAGTCACAAAGTAACTTTTGTAAGTGCAAAATAGTGTACTGCAATTTCCGTGGCTATACTGCTTGATTTAGCTGGTGGCGACTTCAAAATAAATCTTTTGCAGCAAATGCATAAGCAATTAAGGAAGGAAATATGTCATTTTCTGCTGTGCATGAATAAAACAAGGATTAACTCTTCGCGCATGAAATTTGTATTTGAATAAAAGTTTTCAAACTGGAAGTCATTTCGCTTTGGAATATCCATAAGTCACCAAAAAGCAGATACATTTGTTCTTTGATTTTTACCCAGCATTGAAACCTCAAGATTTTTTTTTCGTTTTATCTTTCAAATTCATGTCAGTAGAATTCTGATACATTACCAATGGCATATAGGCCGCAATATTTTCCAAATCTATGCGGCCTACCCATGAGTATTGTGAGTAAAAGTCGCACCAGTGCTTTTGGGTAAATTTCTATAATATAAATGTTATATGCTTACAGCAGAATTTTTATAATGTATGACGGAACAGCAAAGATTTTAAATTACTGTACAGTATGTATTTTTTGGATCTAGGACGTCAAGAAAGACAATTTCAGACAGGGCCAAATTGAGACAGATACTTTTTGGACACAATGACAGGTTGAGACAGACAATTTTGGAGGCACGGATAATTTGACACTGAAACTTTTTTAGACATGGAGAAATTGAGACTAATACATTTTGAGACAGCAAAATTTTGAGACAAAATGGCTTGACTGTGTTTCTCCCTATTATCTAATGTTCAAGGTGTGAAAATTAAAAAAAATTGCACTGTTCTGTGAGAATTCCATGGTTCCATGGTGTTTCTCCTTTCTTGTCCATCATCACTGTCAAGCAAGTTTTCCTCATCAAGGAAAAACTAAAATCTTTGAACCATCCTAAGCAGATTCCTCCCCACAATAGGATAGTTTTTGTCTCAATTTTTCCCTGTCTCAAATTGTCCCTGTCTTCAATTTCCTTGTCTCAAATTGTCCCTGCCTCTGATTGTTCCCGTCTTGAATTGAACCTCTCTCAACTTTTCTGTCTCCATTTTTCCAGTCTCAAGTTGTCTGTCTCAATTTGTCCGCATCCTTTTTGTTTCTTTTTCCATGTTTCCCTTGCCTCGAAGTTTTTTGAAAGTTGTAAAACTCAAACAATACTGAAATACATTTTTTGTTTTAAAAAAGCTGTGTTCTCTGAAACAAGCTTGTTCTGTGAGTCACATTTTATCGTTAATCAATAAAAATGGCGTTATTTCAACTTTTCTTGGTGTATTATAGGGTCTTATTTTCGGTTTATGAAGAATTGAAGACCCATTCACTGCTCAGTTAGATTTATTTTACTCAGTTTGACGAGCAAGTGTTTTGTTGTTGTTCAAAATAGAAAACCAACTTTTAGACGTCGGATGAGCCTCGTCTGCTGACGCTTGCGAATCGACGGATTGGTCTCGAAGTAATGCGGTCGTTTCCGTTTCCGGGCGGAAGCGATCGCAGCTGCTGCAGCCATCCCCACTGGCCCTGAGGTAAATTAACGACGACTCGAAAACAATTAGCATCCACTCTATGGATTTGTTTGAAATTTGCTGACGCACCTGCGGCGGCCAATTGAGCAGTGACTTCGTCATTGGCAACTGCTGAACTCATGAGTTCCCCGTCGTCGTCGTCGTAGGCTGACTCGGGTGACGACAGGAAGTCATCGTCATCGTCGTCTTCTTCGTCACTCGGATCTGCATCGACAGCATTGAATCGATTTCATTAGTTGAATGCGGCGTATATGAAGATCAATCGCTATTTTCATCATCCAAAAGTATATGAGGATCCACCGAATTAAAAAAAAAAAAAAGCTTGAGCAATACTGAATCAATTATTTTTGGAATCTTGAAGGTACAAACTTGTTTTAACGAGCAAAGCCAAAGTGAAATAAAATTACTGCATTTGGTATGAGTTTTAATGTTCTGGATTTCAAGCTAGATTCGTATGAGAACTGTACACCATGCCCTACATAAGGGGAAGATTGTTCTAAATATAGAATCCGTATTTTCTGAATTTCAGAGAATGACGTCGTTTAGTTCTACTGAACATGGATACTTTTATTCGCCAAGATAATCTGCAAAATTTAATCATACAAGAAATGAATGACATCATGAAAATTATTTTAGATTAGAGACTTCTTTAGTCGCACTTTAAATGTGAGCAGTTCACTGATTTCATTCTGGGAATGATTTCTTTAATTAAATCAAACCCCCTACGCTAATATCAACAAGTTGCTGTGTGTTTTTTAAAAATCAAACCCCCTCTCAATTCCTACAAGTTTTTTTTTTCAAAATGAGAGTGTCCTTCAATTTTCAATTTCTTGAGATCAATTCTGGAAATGCACTCGCTGATGTGAAGCCTGTGTTTTACATACCATATTTACTCAAGTACCACACGTGCCATTGAGTACGGTGCTCACCCCCATTTTTTCACCAGAAATTACCATATTTACTGAAGTACCCAGTGCCCTCAAGTAAGGCACACACAGGGGTTTTTCAGTTCAAAATTTGGCTAAAATTGCATCCCTGAGTAAGACACGCACCCCATTTTTAGGGACTCTAAAACCACAAAATTTCAAAAATAAAAACAGAAAATTTGACTTTTGATGTGAATTGAAACATGAATCTGATCAATTTTCAAAATTTTCAGTCAAAAAAAGTTTTCTTGGTACATTTGTCACAAAGTTCTCAATTATAATCAAGTATAATCAACACACAACTTCCTAAAACTTCTTGAAAATTTTGTACCCGCTTATGATGCGCACCCCTTTTTTTCTTCTGAAATTTGAGAAAAAAGGTGCGCCTGGTACTCAAGTAAATATGGTAGTTCAAAAACCTATCCATGTTTAAGATGCACACCCCAGTTTTTAGTTGTTGCTGAAAATCAACAAAATTTGAAATTAAGTTGAAATGTGAAAATGTTTTATTTTTAAATTCATTTTTTCTTATCAATATTTTGTCTTTCTGTCTTTATCCATCTACAGAAGGAGTTAAAATGCATTTGATATATAGGACACCTTCTTCAATTAGATGAATATTACCCCCTTCCTTTACTTCCTGTTGCATCTCCAAGGGATGAAATAAATTGAGCCATTATTCCCCATGCAGGAAGAGACTTGGAGCCACACTTTTCCTGTTCAATTTTTTTTTTACTTGGATGTGAGGGGCATTGGTTTTGGGAATTTTTTCTCTAAAATGTATCCCCAAGTACCACGCGCACCCTATTTTTCTGCCTCGATTTCTAGAAAAAAGGTGCGCATGGTACTTGAGTAAATACGGGTATACTGTATTGTAAAGGGAATTTCTTTGCCACTGTACAAAAAAATAAAAAATAAAAAGGGGACGGAAGAAGAAGAAGAAGAAGACGATGAAAATGTAGTTGTTGTAAAACTCGCTTTTCGCTTCAGCAGACCCGTTTCCCTGCTGCTGCAGGTAGCCATTAAGGAATTGGATCCCACCTGTTCCGGCCGCCACGTGGTTCACGTCGCCGGTCATCGTGGCCGAAGAGATGGTGAGGGTGCCGGTGGCGGAAGTGGTAATCTGTGACGAGGAGTTGAGAAGGATCGTCGTTGTCGTGTTGCACGTCGACGTCGAGGTTGGCGGCGACGACGCCGACGCCGCCGTCGAGGACGCCGTCGCGTTGGACACGCTGCGCGCTGGCAACTCTACGTAAATGGGCATCGTAGTGCTCCTTGCTGCTGACGACGATGATGAGAACCGCTGCCGTCGACGGCTGCTGATGGGGGGACCGACGCCCGAAAATCGACACTACGAGTTTTTGTTTTATTTTTCTATGATTCGTGTGTGATATAAAACACTGGTTCCCGTCAGTCCCTCACATCCGAATCGTCCCCCCTCTGAGGAATCTGTCCACAAAGAAAAAAAAAACCTTCGGGTCAACAATAATTATGATTTTGCCCTGGGCAAACTTTCAGAATTACATGCACATTGACAACTCCTCACCATAGTTCAACGGGTAAAATGTTTTTCAAAGTACAGACCTCTTCAATAAGTCAAACTTCAAGGGACCAGCAGAAAAATTTGAGTTAGAGAAACAACATTTGTGCTGGTGACTGGGGGGGGGGGAAGATCTATGAAATAAGAGGAAAGTGCAATTGTTGACATTCTAGGGCTCATGCCATTGATGAAAGAAGTTGACAAAGATGCTGAACTTGAAGGCAGGGGTTCATTTGCCCACTTACTTTCAAAACACATGAAGTTACATTTTCATTGCTTTTATCTTTCCTGAGTCAATAAAATACAGTAACCCCCTGCAAAATGGATTTTTGCACAACAGAGTACCTTTGGAGGCAGTTTTCCCTCCTGCACAGTGGAGTAAATTGGCCTAACAGACTTTTGTTGGTTTAAAATTAATGGGAAAAAGTAAAAATTTTAATTTCTTGACAATTGAATTTGCATAACAGAATTTTCCCACAACAGACCAGTCTGTTGCACAAATTAAGTCCGTTGTGCAGGGGTTGACTGTAATAGACAAAACGCCTCCAAAAAGTTTGGAGTTATGGAGGTTTGATGGGGAAAGTCATGAGTCAATGAGTCTTCCAATTAATTTTGATTCAGTAAGATTCATTTTTTTCTGACAATGTTGAATGAGTCTTTGAATTAGTGTAAATCTAGAGATGATGCCTGGGTTTGGTGGAAGGAATGAAGCAATTTATTCCTTAGCTCATTATACTGTGTTGTGACTAGAATGCCTCCATCATTGCTATTTGATATACAGTATATACCTGCAGGTACTTGAAAATGCAGAAATACAAAGGATAGTAAAGTTAATTTTTTAGCAGTTGAATGCGCAAGGGTATTCAGAAAAGATATGAGTTCCTGTGCAAAACTGTAGGATTAGGAAAAATGAGGCACTTGAGAGAATAATTTGGTCTTCATAAATCTCCATGTTCTTAGAATCATCGGAGGATCCAGCAATGAAATTCAAAATAAATTTTAAAAAAATTTCAGTTGTAGCATGCTCAAATTGCATTTCATTTTTTCTGCTCAAGGCAGCATAAAATACAGTTGTTTCCCATTCAAGTCGCAAGTCTACCAGTAATTTAATATTGCTTCCACGTGCCATAAACGGATGAAATTTACAAAGGTTTCATATGGTCCAGCAGGTAAAAAAAAAGGTGGATAGATATTCGTATCAGTCTGAGTAGCTTTTTCCACATGAGCATGCGATTTCATCCATTTCATGTCATCCCTTTTCTCCGCCAAAATAGAACCGTGAATTGAGCACCCTATACCACCTGGACAAGCGCAGCCTTTTCCGACGAGGGACACCAAAAAAAAAAAAACTGCGGCATACCAAAGTTTTCGCAATATACTATTTTGGCAGAAAAAAAAGCGTCAGCATCTGGATGCTTCATTCTTCCACGTGAGGAATCAATTTGAATTTTTTTTCCGCCAGCAATGTCCCACCAAACTTACGTCTCTTTGTTTTTAGCACAATGAAAAATCTGCGCTCGCCCCAGATAAGTCGCAGTGAGCAGTTCATGGAGCAATTGTACCCAAAAAAAAAAGGGATGTTATTGTTTTATCAACCGGAAATATTCTCGTTTCTCGAGTTTGAAAGCTGTTGATGAAAATGTTAGACCATGTGCAGTTCCTGTTTAAATTCATGGTCAGGTAACATACCGTATACTTTTATTTATTTTTAAATTGAAAAACGTTGGTTTTTCCCCGTATTGAAAGGGGGACAACAGATTGAGATTAAATTTCGAAACAAAAAAATCCTGAACGTCTTGACGCAAAATAAAATAAAATTAATTTACAAAAACTTTTAAATTCCGCATTATAAAATTGCAAGTAGTCATGCATACGTGGAAAATTCAAGGCTAAAATAAAGAAGTGTACGTTAAAAACGCCTGATTGCGCAATCTTCAATGTTTTATCTTTCGAATAGCTGTCTGTAGAAGAATTTTAAAGTCTCCATCGAACCAGTTGTATACCGGCTGTTGATGAAACATGCAAAAAAGCCATGTGGCACATTATCCGTAGGCAACCGTGAACCTCTAACAGTCAAATTTTTTCCTCGGGTAATTGGTAACACTTCCTTATCCATTACCCGTATAAGAGAAATGAGTGAAAAGCTTTTTAGGTTTCTCAGCCAGTCATAACAGTTTCTGGGTCGTTTCCAGCAGGCCAACAAAAAAAAGGAATTCGGGAGTAAAAAAATCCTGCTTATACTGAACAACAATTTAAGATTTCATTGGTAAAACTTCATGTGGGACATTCCGGAAGTTCGTGCGGATTTAATCAATGTGATTCAAGTTTGATAGTTTTTGAATTATGAACGTATTCGAAACTTGTAACAGAATAAATGCAGCCCAGTATTAAAAGTATATTAAAGACTAGGAATGAACCAGGATAAAACCAAGAAATCAATTTTGCTCCTACGCAAATTTATATTTTAATGTAGTCATTATACAGTAGCTCTTCCACGAAAAAAAATGGGAGAAATTTGCAAGAAAAAAACATCATTGATCAAATATTATACTGTATCTACTCAAGTATTAAGCTCCCTTTTGTAAGGCAGGCATCTGAATTTTTTGATAAAATGTTATAATGTAGAAATAATCAATCAATTTCAGTTTATGTGCCATTAGAAATAAATTATTTCCGGAAATAAATGCTGAAATTTGAAATTTTACAGTTTGAATTCGATCTTTTTTCATTACTTTTTGCTCATATTTTAATCCACTGGGTTGATTTAAACCTTTCAAATTTTCTTCATTAAATCTAATATCTAACCATTACTTCTTTCAAATTTCATGGAATGTTTTCGATGAACGCCAAATTTTTCAAAGGTGACAGAAAATGTGCATCAATAAATACTCATCTATTTTTTCCTACTTATTTAGGAATATCGATAGTTTTTCCTACAGAAAATTCAAAAAATTTGAGGCACATCAACCAGTTAATTCAGAGATAATCGTCCATATGATATGGAACCCCAACAATTTACTTGCCATTCAAGTCTAATGGAAATTGAATTTTTTTAACAAACCACTGTATCACCTGTTATGAATTTGTGGTTTCAACCAAAGGTATTATTGTACCTCTGTACAATTAAATATGAATTAAGAATGGTCTTATAGATGTTACCCAAGATATGCTTCTTGTTTTTTGAAGACGTGCCGAAGATTTTTTGCATGGATGAGATAATCCAACAAGTTTTCAAATACTGAATCATTTAATGATGGGCCCAGCAGTTAAGAGACATGAAGCCTGAGCTATAATTAACGAAAAGTTTACAATTCGAATTAAAACAAGCAAAAAATTCTAGAGGGCAACTGCAGAAAAAGCCTTATTCGAAAACCCATTTCAAGAATTAAATCTTTCGAAGCGACCCGTGCGTGCAAAAATTCCCGTGCATTTGTTTCTTTGCTCGACTTTTTTTTTACTGGAATCCGAGGGTTTGCAAAAAAAGTAAGGTATGTGAACCCTCGTTGGTTTTCCCCCGTCATTTTACAGCGCGATTCGTTCCACATTTTTTACTTCCCCTGTTGTACTTCCGAGTCTCGAGGAGAAAACACTTCCGAGACCTACGAGAAATTCCAAACAAAATCGGAACCAGACCCGTGAGAAAAATACCAAAACCTTCGCATGACGCATATACGTATTCATGCGTCGGAAGGAAAAACAAATTTGAAAATTCCGGGTTATTTATTGGCATGAAGGCGGAACCTCTGGCGTTATAAATTTTTACAATCCTTTCGAAAATTTGTCTGCGATATCTTGCAAGAAGTCAGGGTAAAATAGTTTTGTCTCAGTCAGGAAATCGGAAATCATGTTCGATGATAAGAATTTGCATCACAGGCAGATCGAGTTGCGAGAAAAAAAACTTTACAACTGCTCCAGATTCGTGAAGCCCTAGAAAGACGTCATCCTCTGCTCAATATATACAGTGAGACCCCGATATTCGGACACCCCGACATGCAGACAATTCGATTCAGGGACACTTGAATCCACACAAAAAAAGCTGGCCCAACATCTGGACATTGGCTCAAGATAGGGAAACTTTCCTGGCATTTTCCAAAAAAAAAAATCAAAAAGTTTTATTTTTACTTCTGATATTTTAGACAAATCAACCTATTCATATTCACAAAAGTTGTAAAATATTTCATTATAAATATAATCTGATCCACAATCAAAAACAAGTTGATTTTATGTGGTCGTTTTTTCTGCACTGTTGTTTTCTAAAACTCGAAGTTGAAGGAAACAATATTTTTTATAGGACTTATTCAAAATTTTTCACAAACAGGAGAGCCAATTGAATATATATGCATTGAATTCTATGGGGAAAACGAGGTTTGAACTTTAGATGATCCAACATAGCAAAACAAAAATGCTTGTTTCCTCAGCTCTATAATTTTCTGCTGGACCCTTTAAATTTGACTTGGAGGTTCAAATATTTCATTCACAATTTCCCTCAATTTGTATACCCTAAATTCCCCCCCCCCTAAAAAAGGTTTGTTTCCCCAACTTGCACCGTCTTCATAAATCTACTTTTTTGCTGGTCCCTTGAAATTTGACTATTTCATTTACCATTTCCTGTAATTCTTTCATGTTTCCCACAACAAAAATGCTTTTTTCCTTAACTCAAAACCTCCCTAACTTTATAATTTCCTGTTGGCCCCTTTAAATTTTACTTGGAGGTTCAAATATTTCCTTTACAATTTCCCTCAAATTTTTTTTTACTCCATATTTCCCACAAAAAGGTTTGTTTCCCCAACTTTAACCCAGTCTATATAACTCCATTTTTTTTGCTGGTCCCTTGAAATTTGACTTGGAGAGGTTTGATTATTTCATTTACCATTTCCTGTAATTCTTTTATGTTTCCCACAACAAAAATGCTTGTTTCCTCAACTCAAAACTTCCTCAAATCTATAATTTTCTTCTGGCCCCTTTAAATTTGACTTGGAGGTTCAAATATTTCCTTTACAATTTCCCTCAATTTTTTACTCCATAATTCCCACAAAAAAGGTTTGTTTCCCCAACTTGAACCCAGTCTACATAACTCCCTTGAAATTTGACTTGGAGAGGTTTGACTATTTCATTTACCATTTCCAGCAATTCTGCTATGTCTTTCACAACACAAACATGTGTTTCCCTTATTCCCCAACTCAAAACCTCTCCAACTCCATTTTTTTTTCTTCCTGGCCCATCGAAATTTGACTTATTGGAGAGGTTCAACTGAATATAGGAAGTTACGCAGTATTATGAGCCAAGGACCCGGTGTGTCGTTCGACGAGCATTTCCCGCTGGTCAAAAACGCGATGAAAGCGTCGCTGACGATGAGTCGTCCTCTGATGTGAGTTTCACTCACTCACTCACTCGTCGCCACCATCACAGCCGCAGCAGAGACATGACAAACCAGCAGCAACGCGTCACGCAGAAACGAAACATGCGTAGCCGAGCATCATATGCTGCACTCCAATAGCCAACACACACACACACACACACACTTTTACACTTGCATGACGCTATAACACACACGGCAAATTCGGCGGCGGCGCCGTTTGCGAGGCGTGGGAGCAGGCCCAGAGCCGTGGTCCGACACTGAGGCTGCGTACGCCCCGGCGGCGTCGCACCTGCGTCGCGTATCCGAATGCCTCACTGTGTCGCTTGCACGAACCCGGGGTCGCCAGTCGAAACCCCGCCAGCACCACCAACACTCTCCCGCCTATTCCCATATCGCATGGGACACAAACGTGTCATGTGTGCTGTACTACTACTGTACATATTATATACGTACAGTACATATAGGAGGAAAACTAACAGCACTCACATATATGCTGCAGGCGAGGGGGGGGGTTTTGCAGCAGCAGCAGCAGCAGCCCGACCCATCACTGGTGGTGGTGCTGCTGCGGCCCCGATTTCTCTCCCTTTCTATATTCTTCGGGTTGGGTTTGGGCTGGGTTGCTCTACTCCGCGCCCTCCCCCCTGGAACCCGTCCGCAACGGCGGCAGCTGGTCATCGCGCGGATGTTCGTTTTTTCTCTGTGTGCAAGTGTTGGCTATATGTGGAGTACAGTACTTTAGACTCCATGTGGAAGGGTGTTTCCGAAAGTTGTCGGTTATTGTGAAGTGCTGCCGCGCCCATTTTAAAATGCAGTGCTTATTGGAAAACTCTGTTTATTTTTATTTTTTACTATGTACAGTTGAACCTTGCTACGTCAAACCTCCGTTACCCAAGTTTTTTTTTTTCAAGTCCCTGTCTATACTCCCATAGAAACAATGCATTAAAAAACCTCTCTAACTTGAAGTATTTTTCTCTCAAACCTCTGTAAGTCAAATTTTCTGAGGCATTTTGGTTATAATTTCCTTGAAATATGAAAGAGAAAATCAACAAAAGAAATTATTTTATGCATTTTGAAATGAAGTGAAGGACTAATTGAACAAATGAACCCATGCTGCCAAGTTCAGCAAGCTGTAAACTCATTTATTAAGAAGCACGTTTAGGCCCTGAATATCCTCATCTACAATTTCCCATTTTCCTTGCAGCAAAAATATTTGTTTCCTTTACTCAAAACCTCAAAAAAAACAAAATCTCCCTGAGTCAAATTTTTTTCCTGGTCCCTAAAAATTTGACATAGAGAGGTTTAATTGTTTATATAGTGAGGATTGAGTCTGGAGACCAATTGAGATCAATTTTCTAGAACCATTCTGGAGACACAGCATGCTCCAGAATTTGAAATAAAATTATCCTTCATAACTTTTGAAAATGATACAGTGTACATTTCTTGCCTCTGGTGAGTTGTGTCATCTTCCAAGACTTGAAGTTGATGAAAAGAATCATCAAGTTCAGTGAACACCTCCATCTTCATGAAAAAAATAACAAGTTTAGAAAATTGACATAATTTGCATAATTTTCTGTCTAAAGTATGTATAAAATTCACAATCCCACAAAAATTGAGTAAGATCGTGGTCTAAATTCAAAATTGTATCGTTTATTTTTTAAAGATATGACAGTTTCAGAAAACTTTTTCCTATCTCCAGAATTTTTGTCAAATTCTTTTCATATCTTAATTAAGTTTAGTTCATATCTTAATCAAGTTTAGAAAATTGACTGTCAAATTCTCAATCTCAGAAAAAAGCACATCTAAATTGGAATGCATACATTCATACTTTGATGCAATGTGAGAATTAATGTTGTAAAAATGTCTAAGCATTTAAAAAATATTATTGTAACCAAATTTTTGTTACTGGAAACGAAGAAGGTTGGGTCAGCAGTGCACAATGCAGACTTGGTGATACAAGGGTTTTGAATGACCCATAAGAACTTATTTTCAAACGCTTGTGGTACATGGTCATTTATTGGGGTTAAAGGATGATCAAAAGCAAAAATTTTATAACGTAAAATGGAGAATCGGAATGCGTGAAATTCTTCTGAGAAACCTATTTCAAAAAAACTTTTTCCTATCTCCAGACTTTGTGTCAAATTCTTTTCATATCTTAATTTTCCTGTCAAGTCTGTTCCTTTGTTTTCATCAACATAGGAACAGACTTGACAGGAAAATTAAGATATGAAAAGAATTTGACTCAAAATACATTTCGTTGCGCTTAAATTCATGATTTCAGCAGTCATAACTTTTGAAGTATTTTAATAAGCCGTTCAACTTTTTGCGGTTGACACTGTATATATACGGTACTTAGTACGAGAGGTCCTGAAGTACTGATCATAAGATCGGTTCAGTGAATGGCTAATTTTTATTTTTTATTTTTTACAAAAATCAATTGGCAACGATTTTGTCTGAGGAAGGCAGCGGTTTATTGATCGATCTTTTATTTCATAATGGAAACAATTTCCACAATCACTCTTCCTTCATCAGCCCATGGATTACAAGAAGATCAAACTCAATGCTGATATTTTCCATGAGATGGTGGTTGGATGCTGATTAATATCCGCAGCCTTTATTGAGTTTGGCTCCTTCAGATTTACTTTAATTTAGATCATATCATATCTGGTTTTGCGGAATTATGTCCTTTTTTCTCAAATAATCATCGAGGATTACGGATTCGTCAAAAAAGGCATCTGATCATTACTCAAAAACTGAGGAATATTCCAATCAGAATCATTATAGGAACACCGTATTTTCGAAAGTTCTTGGGTTTCATCATAAAAACAAATGTCATGTAAGAGGGCTTAGGTATCTAGAACATTTTATAATAATTTTTCCTCGATTGCTCTTTCTCTGAAGGCCTAAAATAATTTCTCAAGCCCTATTGCATGAATGCAAATTTGCGGTAAAACACGTGGAAAAGTAGTTGGAATCCCAAAAATTTCGAGGATTGATTTTTTCTTTGGTTGGATCAGAATAATACTAGGCCAGTCCTTAAAAGGTCATGAAAAACCATGAAATGCATGATAAATGTAATCTTTTGCTTGAGTGCGATGAGCACCCTCAATTACGAAATGCAACCAAAATTTTCAGCCCATGATTTGAATAAAAATGTATGCCAAGCTAAAACATGCACCCCATACTTTTAATGAATGAAAAATTGCAATATTTTAAACATAAAACTAATCAAAACGGTACATTTGGCTTCAATTCAACCTGAAGTCAATTAATTACAGATTTTAGATTTTTCAAAATAAATTCAAAATGTTGCATTAGAATCAAGCATGACTGTTCAAAACATCTACAATTTTGAAAATGTGTATATCTACCAATTTTGGAAAAAAATTTGTTTAAATGGCACTTGAATAAATGATGTCATTTGAGTTCAAAAGATGAAGTTGTTGAAAGCGTTCATGCATTCTGTCTGCAAATCTGAGGCGCCATGGAATAAAAGACTTCATTTTTCGCCGCTGAGATTTGCAAGAAAAAGTGCTACTCGATATTTAAAAAACAAAAGAGTAGTATTTGAGAAAATGTGGTGAACATCGTCATACAGTTTGGCGAAATTCTTCGAATGATGATTCAGAAAATCGTTTTATTTTGCCCGCTTCCTCCTCGGCGACTCCGTGAAAGAAAAGCCGACCTCCGAAAGACCCCGACCTTTCTTCGTGGGCAGCAGCAGCAGTGGGGCCGCAGCCCACAAACCCCCAGCACTGCAAGCAGGCTGCAAGTTGGGGCGGGTCGCCGGGGTTCGGAGAGGGAAGAAGGCGGAAGTAGAAAAAGGGGGGGGAGGGGGAGGCGAGACCTGTGCAACCCCACTCTACAGCGATTTTAGAGGGACACTGTCTGTACAGTACAGTACAGTGTAGTCCTTCTGAGCTATTTCCGCGTCCTCCCTTCTTTCTTCCCTGTCTCTCTGCTCCGTCCTTCCTTTCTTTCTTCCTTCCTCCTCCTTCTTGTTTGCTGGGAGAAGCACGAGGGAAGGTTCACAAGTTGTGCTAATTCTTGTGAGATGAGACGAGACCATTTATTTTTTTTTTTTGCTGGTGAATTTTTAATCAATCAACTTCTCAAAACACTTTGAAGTTCTTTTTCTCCCCCAAGGCGCTAATGAGAGCGGAAACAAATCTGAAAGGTTTAAAATATGGTACAGAACAACACGAAGGCATATGATCTGAAGTTATCTCAGCAGAAAACCAGAATCAGCATTCAAGTTTTACACTTGATAACGAGGGAAGATCATTATGGACATTCCAAGGACTTTCAGACCCCCAACGCCAAACTTGAAGGGATAACAAAAAATATTCGAATTCCAGAGCTTCTTGAACAAGGGAAAATGGCATTATTTGAGGAAAAAAGTTTGAAGCAATTAAGGAAACATGAAATTGAAAATCTTCTGAGCCTCAAACGTATGGATAAATGAGTTTACATGGTACAGTGCTGAAATTCAAAAGCTTGGGGCGTTTGCCCCCAATTTTTCAATTACTTCTTTTTGAAAAGCATCTGCTTATAGCTCTTCCATTTCCTTGATCCCCAGAATATTAGCCCAAAGGCCTCAAAAAATGTAAGCCGCAGAGGTGTAAAGACAGAGTCATTAAATTAGGGAGATTTTGATTTCCTTGTTCTCAAGGGAATTCAAGAAGGGGCTAAAAAAAAATTTACACATAGAATTTATTGACTAAGAGCAGTTTGAATTGAGTTGTAGTTACCTGGTTATTTTGAAGCTTTAGTGGCCAAGCGTTCTTCCTTGCATACCTTTCATGTGCAGTATATGAAATACAGTGAGACCCCCACATGCAGACACCCTGACCTGCAGACAATTTGACATAGGGACACTTATTTTCCCTGAAAAAATTAATAAAAAAGGCCCAACATGAGGACACTGACTTGACTAAGGGACATTTTGTGATAAAATTTCAAATACATTTTAGGCGAAATTACAAGAAACAGATATTTCCAACCATAAAATGTATGTAAGAAAAGTTCTTGGGCATTTCTCTCACCAATTTTCCATCCATTTAGCTAATTTCAAAAAATTACCTCCAGCATAGAGGGACTTCTACATTTTTTCACTTGAATGTTATCTTTGTAGATGCCAACATTTCAATGTACAGTACAGAGATACACTATTCAATTCTCCAAATGTTCTTATTGAGTTGAAAATGTATTCATTCATTAAAATTCAAGTGGCAAATAATTTTTTTCAGGGAATTCTGAAGAATATTTCTCCCATAAAACACCAATTAAAAATGATATAATATAAGTCTATGGGAAAACAAGACTCAACTTAGGGACAATTCAACTGACACTCTTGATGCACCAATAATATCCACATCTTGGGGTCTCACCGAA